AAAAAAAAAAAAAAACAAATGCACCAAAATGCATCATGGCCCCATGTTGTCCCCTTGAAAATAACCACCTGAGGTGCTATATACTTGTCTGGGATGCTGTCATTTGTCAGAGAACTCAGAAACTACTCACCTGGGGAATTTCTTCAAGGGCTTTTGGCTCCCACTCTGAGGTGGTATCTGTGATAGGAAGTCTTTATTCTGTAATGGTGATGAGTTTGGTTTTTGGAAGTAGGCAGAAGTAATGGAGTGGAGTCAAACCAAGTGTTAATTTAGGTCCAAAGGCAAACAATTAAGCAAGGCCCATAAAGTGATGAGACTGATTGTCTAAAGAGATTTGACTCCAGACTGAGGCAGTTTGAAAAGAATTCTAAAAGCGCTTGTGCACAAGTGAGTCTTTAGTATGGGTTTGCTAGTTTCTGGGGCTACTTCTTGGGTGAGCAGCACATATTTGAATGCCTGGGAAGATGCGTACCTTTCAGAACAACAGGTGAAACAAACTGGCATGGGAGCACAGTTTTCCTGTTACCTGTGATCATGTTTAACCTCAAGTTATCCAGCTTCATTTTAGATCTGAGTTTAGGTTAGAATTTCATGCCACATGATTTACAGCAAACGCCAAGACTCTGTCAGTATTTTTTCATACCGATACAAGATATATATATGTTAAGATATAATCAAGATTTAGATCTGTTTTAAGCTAAGAAAGTAATTGTCCCACACAAGAAGGCAATGTGGTTCATGGAAAGAATACTTGCTTTGCCACCAGGCAGACTGGCATCTAATCCCAGGTGCGCAACTCACTGAGCTGTCGTAGGTTGACTTCTGAGCCTCAATTTCCTAATCTTTACAATGGGCATAAAGTATTGAAACCTTAGACCAGTGGTCCCCTGTCTTTTTGACAACAGTGACAAGTTTTGTGGAAGATAATTCTTCTGCAAACTGGAAGGAATGGGTAGGATGGGACAGGAGGCAGAGCTCAGGCGGTGATGCTGTGCAGCCCAGCTCTTAGCAGGCCACGGAATGCATTTACTGTGCCTATCGTGTGTGTGTGTGTGTGTGTGTGTGTGTGTGTGTGTGTATTTGTACAATGACTTCTAGTATAATAACGCTATAAACAGATTCTTCATACTTGAATTTGCTAATGGTTCTGCCCTGTTGGGAATTTAGCCATTGTTCATGTTAGCTATAATGCATACAACAAAATGAATGCTCACTCCTTGCTTACTAAGTATAAAATATCTCCTTTAATTCAAATAACAGGAAGAGAGGAAGAAAGTCACTAGCTGGTTGACTCTTCTTTCCTTGAGCGCTGGAATGGGTGGTGAGCTGAGGAAGGCAGAGGGGTTGGTCGCCAACCAGCCACGGCTGCTTGGTAAATGGCCTTGGAGAGGCCTGGACTAGACTGTACCTTAGTTCCTTTTTTTCCCTAGAATTACCCTCAATTCCCTTAAATGAACCAGAGTCTCCCCACCCCACCCCCACCAAACCACTGTGCAGAGCTGAGTAAAACTGAAGGTTAATTCTGTCCATATAAAAATAATTCGGTTTGTTTCAGCCAGTCTGGTAAGTTTGGGACCCTCTCTAGGGCTTAAATTCCCTGTTTTTTTGTGTGTGTGGATGTCAGACTAGGGTTTGGATTTCTGTCTGTCAGCAGTTCAATATCTCAGCAAACAATCCTACTGAGAGGAGTTTATCTGTGTGGAAAATGTCCCTTTCATTTAGACATTTATCAGATAAGGGGTTTGTTTTTGCTTTCATCTGTGGAGTTCACTGACTCAGGGTGGATGGCGGGAGGGTGCAGGCTGGTGGAGAACCAAGCCGTGGTGTTTGTGGCCCTGTGGCCTTGGTGATGTGACAGGTGGGGTGCTGCGCAGGTGGAGGAAGGGGCCTGGGAGCTCTGTCCTCCTCAAGGGTGAACCATTACCTCCCAATCCTTTCTCTTCAAATGCAATGCCAATGTCGGGTGTTACGCACCGTGGAATCCTATTACTGGAGAGAACAGATAAGGGGGCATGGTTTTTTTTCTTTTAATTTTATTTATTGAGGAGAGAACATTTAACATGAAGTCCACCCTCCTAACTATAGCAGAATGTTTCTTTTCTTTTCTTTCTTTCTTTCTTTTTTTTTTTTTTAATAGGGGCATATTTCCAATGACCCATTCCTCTCTGAGGCAGGAAGTGTAATTTGGACATCATATATCACCCTGCCTTAAAAAAATATATATGCTTTTGCAAAAGGAATAGATGCATGTTTTGATCCTTCTGGGATTCTGATTGTGATCTCTCGGGTAATTTTAAAATATATATATAAATTCCTTGAGGCATTGGACAAAATAGAAATCAGTTCAGATTTTCTATCAGTTATTTATTATACAGGCAGTCCCAGAGTTAACAAACATCTGATGTACATACAACTTGCACTTATGAATAGGGCTGTGATAGTAAGTCCCCGAGTTACAAACATCCAACTGACGTTCAACTTACACTTACCAACAGGGGCTATTAGTAGGTAATAGGAAATATACCTTTTCCAACTTATGTACAAATTCAACTTAAGAATAGACTTATAGACCTACCTCATTCATAACCTGGGGACTGCCTATAGCACCTTCTAGATCAGCATCTTTACAGATGAACCTTTTCTTCAGGAAAAAATCTGTGCAAGTGTAAAGAAAAATGTATAAACTAGCGGGGAAAAGCAGCATGGGCGTTCTGCCTGCTACTTCCTACTCAGCGCCCCTCAGGTATGGTGGTCCCTCTTCTGCTAAGCATTCCCTTCTCTGAGGTTCTCCCGCAGAGCCAGGAGACTCACTTTCCTCCGTAGCCCCGAGACACCTCTTGGTCCCTACGGCAGGTTGGAAAGTTCAAAACCTGGCCCTGGATTCTTAAATGAGGAAAAAAAGAGGACATTATCTTTAGCAAAAAAGGGGAAAATGATAGATTGTTGTCTACTAGAATTATTTCTCTGGGTACCCAAATTACAGTGCTATCTATAGAATCATTTAAACAACCCCTCCTCCCCCGTGTTATATGTTATAGAAATAATCTCTGTCTCCTATGGAAAATGCAGAAAAGTTTGAAGAGGAAAAATGATACTCAGTCCTTTTTCTCTTGGCTTACTTCTCAGCAAATCCCTTCCAGCCATGGCTGTAGCTTCTGGCCTCTTCACCCTAAGTTATGTTTGCTTCAATAAAATAACACTTTTCTCCAGGTTTGTCTATATTTTCTAAATTTTGTGTTTAAAAAAAAACAAAAAAGAACCTGGCTCAAACCTGCAGCATTTTGGAAGCCTGAGTCTGGACGATTGTTTGAGGTCAGGGATTTGACACCAGCTTGAGCAAGAATGAGATCCTTCCTGTACAAAAAAATAGAAAAATTACCCAGAGACAGTGGTGCACGCCTATAGTTCCAGCTACTTAGGAGGCTGAGGCAGGAGGGGCGCTTGAGCCCAAGAGTTGGAGCTTGCTGTTAGCTGTGATCATGCTTCCGCATTCCAGCTTGCATGACAGAACAAGACTCCATCTCTCAGAAATAAATAAATGAATAAACCCTATATCGTATGTATTTCAGAAAATAAGAGCAACTTGTAACAAGATGGCAGTAAGCACTGTATTACCCATCCTTGTCACACGGTATTTGGGACAAAGCTTTTGTGGTGTTTTTCCTGTGGTAGATAAATGCTAACTTCTAGGTTCTCTTACAGGCCCTCAAAACCAGCCTTTCAGGGGTTTCCTCCTAGAAAGTGGGTGGGAGACATTTAAAAATTTTCCTCATTGGTCTAACAGGTGACCTGCCCCAACATCTTCAAGTGATGATCAACCTTTTGCGTTGTGAAGACAGAATCAAGCTGGTAAGAAGTAATAAGAGTGACAAGTGTTCGTTTTTAATCATGAAACTTGGTGGGAGAACCATTCATGAATAATGGGGGCGGGAGCTCTTAATATCACAACAGATTGTCCCAAATGACTTGCAAAAGCCAAAGCCATGTGTGTTCCTCTGTACCCCAGAGAGACCAGAGGAGGGATGTTTGTTCACTTCTCACATTTTTTGTATGTCCTCTCTGAGCCATGCACTGCCCCTGGTGCTGGGGAGATAAACCAGACCCAGCTTCTGATTTTAAGAATTTCATCTTCACTTTTAATTCTCAGAGGGAAAGGTAGAAAACTAAAGTTCTTGATCTTGGCTTGGCAAAGGGACGGAGGCATCCCCTCGACAGGCAGACCAGTGAGGGCATCTCTGCCCTGTTGTAGGCCGTGCGCTTGGAGAGTGCCTGGACGGACCGCGTCCGCTACATGGTGGTGGTGTACAGCAGTGGGCGCCAGGACACCGAGGAAAATATCTTGCTGGGAGTTGACTTTTCCAGTAAGGAAAGGTGAGTCTGGTGGTTGGTGGTTCCCTACTGGGAGGGGGACAAGAGTTATTGCTGAAAAAGGTTTCTGTGGTCCCAGATCCATGGGAGATGATTTTGGGGAGGAGGCATCGTGGCAGGGAGCAGTGGGTGTGCCATTTCAGCTCCTCTGTGTCTGGCACTGTGCCAGATCCAATAATCTGTGTTCTTGGAGGAACTCAGAGTTGACTAAGGATGGAAAGTTGCTCTGTGTGCAGAGGCATAACTCTGGGTGCTGTAGAGAGGGGCACAGTAGGCAGATATGTGTCCTGAAGGAGGAGACAGCAGTGATGAGCATGAAAGGACAGGCTGGGGCCACCCACGTGAAGCAGGGAGGATACTTTGGGCCCACGGATGGTATGGAAGGGTGTAATCAGTAGGTGTTGCATGGAGCACCTACTCCAGTGGGAACCCACTGTGGGGTTCCCACTACTTTCTGGCAGGTCCTTGGTCAGAGGTGGTAAGAGAGGCTTGGAATTTGCTACTCCCTAGAGGCCAAGTGAGTTGAGTCCTAGACCCGGTTGTGTGTGTGAAACGCAGGTGAACACCTTACTTGACATCCAGGATAAATGAATGCATGTAAGGTCATTGCAAAACCTAGATTTGTTCCATGAAGATTAAAGTGGGCTTCCTTTATTCATCATCCATTAATCTATTCATTTATTAAGTGTATAATTTATTTGCATCCTTCTATGTATGAGGCAACAGGCTAGGTCCAGGTCCACAAAAGAAGCCACAGAAGAAACAGATTTTGGCCTCAAAGAGCCTGTAAGCTTAGTGTGGAAGACATAAGGGAGAGAGGTACTGGGAGGGAGACGCGGCTGGTGTTTCGTGAGACCACACGAGAGGGGTGGTCAGAGAGAGCATGTGCTTCTGAAGGGATGTGGTGCCTTGAATGAGTCTCAGTTCAGGGCTAGAGGCACAGCAAGGGGTGCATTCAAAGAGCATCCCTGGCAGAATCGGAAGGAGAAAAAATCCGTTTCAGAGGCTGCACATGGTGTGGTAACGGTGCACACTTGTCTTGTTCCTTCTCAGAGCTGCTTTGGGCCACAGGAGAGGGACCAAGTCTTTGTTGCTAGTTAGAAGTGAACAACTGCCCTCACCAGACCCCAGTACATAATATATAGTGTTATGAGAAAGTTTTCCACAGTCCACTCAGGGGAATTGGAGTTTGGGCTGATGTGTGTGGCCTTGGACTATCTGGGAATCCAGGTCTAGAATTTGCCACATGTGAAGAGGTGAGCTCCAAAGAGCCACCTAAAGACTGGTGGGCTTGTTCTATTATGTTGGAAAACCTCCAGGCTGTCAGGAATGGTTGGAGCCTCAGCCAGGCACAGTGGCCCATACCTGTAATCTCAGCACTTTGGAAAGCTGAGATGGGAGGATCTCTTGAGGCCATGAGTTCACAATCAGCCTAGGCAACATAGTAAGATCCCATCACTACAAAAAGCTTAAAATTTAGCTGGGCATGGTGGCATGTACCTGTAGTGTTAGCTACCCAGGAGGCTGAACCCAGATCACTTGAATCCAGGAGCTGGAGGTTACACTGAACAAGTTCTTGTCTCTCTCTCTCTCTCTCTTTTTTTTTT